GTGGGCAGGGGGCAGTGGGCAGTGGGCAGGGGGCAGTGGGCAGTGGGCAGGGGGGCAGTGGGCAGTGGGCAGTGGAGGGGGCAGTGGGCAGTGGGCAGTGGGCAGTGGGGCAGTGGGAGTGGGCAGGGGGGCAGTGGGCAGTGGGGCAGTGGGCAGTGGGGCAGTGGGGCAGTGGGCAGGGGGCAGGGGGGCAGTGGGCAGTGGGCAGTGGGGCAGTGGGCAGTGGGCAGTGGGCAGTGGGCAGGGGGCAGTGGGCAGGGGGCAGTGGGCAGTGGGCAGTGGGCAGTGGGGCAGTGGGCAGGGGGCAGTGGGCAGGGGGCAGTGGGCAGTGGGCAGTGGGCAGGGGCAGTGGGCAGTGGGCAGGGGGGCAGTGGGCAGTGGGCAGTGGGCAGTGGGCAGTGGGCAGGGGGGCAGTGGGCAGGGGGACAGTGGGCAGTGGGACAGTGGGCAGTGGGCAGTGGGCAGGGGGCAGTGGGCAGTGGGCAGTGGGCAGTGGGCTGGGAGTGGGGCAGTGGGGCAGTGGGCAGTGGGCAGTGGGCAGTGGGGGCAGGGGGCAGTGGGCAGTGGGGCAGTGGGCAGTGGGCAGGGGGGCAGTGGGGCAGTGGGCAGGGGCAGTGGGCAGTGGGCAGTGGGCAGTGGGCAGGGGGCAGGGGGCAGTGGGCAGTGGGCAGGGGGCAGTGGGCAGTGGGCAGTGGGCAGGGGGGCAGGGGCAGGGGCAGTGGGCAGGGGGCAGTGGGCAGTGGGCAGGGGGGCAGTGGGCAGTGGGCAGGGGGGCAGTGGGCAGGGGGGCAGTGGGCAGGGGGCAGGGGGGCAGTGGGCAGTGGGCAGTGGGCAGGGGGCAGTGGGGCAGTGGGCAGTGGGCAGTGGGCAGGGGGGCAGTGGGGCAGTGGGCAGGGGGCAGTGGGCAGTGGGCAGTGGGCAGGGGGGCAGTGGGCAGTGGGCAGGGGGCAGTGGGCAGTGGGCAGGGGGGCAGTGGGCAGTGGGCAGTGGGGCAGTGGGCAGTGGGGCAGTGGGCAGTGGGCAGTGGGCAGTGGGCAGTGGGCAGTGGGCAGTGGGCAGGGGGCAGTGGGCAGGGGGGCAGTGGGCAGGGGCAGGGGGCAGTGGGCAGGGGGCAGTGGGCAGTGGGCAGGGGGGCAGTGGGCAGTGGGGGCAGTGGGCAGTGGGCAGTGGGCAGTGGGCAGTGGGGCAGTGGGCAGTGGGCAGTGGGGGCAGTGGGCAGTGGGCAGGGGGGCAGTGGGCAGTGGGTAGTGGGCAGTGGGCAATGGGCAGTGGACAGTGGGCAGGGGGCAGTGGGGCAGTGGGCAGTGGGCAGTGGGCAGTGGGGCAGGGGGCAGTGGGCAGTGGGCAGTGGGCAGTGGGCAGGGGGCAGTGGGCAGTGGGCAGTGGGCAGGGGGCAGTGGGGCAGTGGGCAGTGGGCAGTGGGCAGGGGGGCAGTGGGCAGTGGGCAGTGGGCAGGGGGCAGTGGGCAGTGGGCAGGGGCAGGGCAGTGGGCAGTGGGCAGTGGGCAGTGGGCAGGGGCAGTGGGCAGTGGGCAGTGGGCAGGGGCAGGGGGGCAGTGGGCAGTGGGCAGTGGGCAGTGGGCAGTGGGCAGTGGGGCAGTGGGCAGTGGGCAGTGGGCAGTGGGGCAGGGGGCAGTGGGCAGTGGGCAGTGGGCAGTGGGCAGTGGGGCAGTGGGCAGTGGGCAGTGGGCAGTGGGCTGTCGGCTGTTGCTCCTCCGGAGCTGTGACTCTCTCTCTCTCTCT